AAAAAATAATGACAAAAAAGTGATTAGAAATTGCTGGGGATGACTGATTTATTGGTGAATCGAAGATGAAGGTGAAATGGAAATTCAATTTGGGAATGTTTTTTTTTTCGAGAACCGGATGGATCAACTTTTTTTCATTGTCGAGGGATTTTATTAGCTTTTTTTTGTCTCGTCTTCGTCTGCTGACGGCATTCTAATGGCCTCCGGTATCCGGCAATTATTTCCATTGAACAGTATTTAAATCCATTAATAACAATATTATAAAGATTTTTTGCGCAGTTCGGTTTTCAGTTCAAGTGAACTGTTTTCCAAAATATTGTTTGTCGCTCGGTTTCAGTCCTATTTTTGTTCCGTCGACAGGGGACCTAGATATTGGGCCTTTTCGGTCCCTCAACATTGGGGTTACAAGGTCACCCCTCAATAATTAGCGAAAGGTCGTTGGCGCGCATCGAACCAATTTGTGATCGGCATAATTGATTCTCTTATGACACGGATTACAGATCTTCGCCTTGAACAATTATTTTGCCTGAACATTCAAAAATTTATAATAAAAAAAAATTCCAAGTGTCTCTCCAGGATGACAGCTTCTCTCGATTTCCGACAAATTTTTGATTCGATTCGAAAATTAATTAATCTAAAATTTTCTTTCAGCATTTCACTGCACAAAAAAATCGAAGATTCTAAGATTCTCTCGGCATGTAAAATTTCCGCGTCAGCAAAAACTCAACGGAAAGAATTCGCTATTTTTTTTTAACAATCTGGGTTATCACTTCTCTGATAAAACTATTTTCTGTCGCAATAAAACGGAATCAGGGAAAAATATTGCGTTTTCTCCGAGAATTCAAAAAGCCACTAAGTAGGCGAATGCTTGTTTTGTCGTGTCTTTTTTTCCTCGTTTTTTTTTTTCATCGATTCTTCAATCGTCTTGATCAGAGCCTTGATCTTTAACCATATCACTCGCACTCCTCATTCTTGCCACAAACCCATAATGACTCTCACGAACGAGACATGCAGAAAAAAAACTCGTCACAATGTACGCAGCTAATTATCGGCACTCCTTAATTATTTCTAGTTATTTCTAATGTGATTAAATCCGTAGGTAGGTAATAGGAACTTTTTCCAAATCAGGCCCAATATTGCCCAATCTACGCTCTGAAAAGAAGATAGATTCCAATCAGGGACAATTGGGACTGATATTACAGCAGGTGAATCTGGTGATTTAGAATATTTAAGAGAGGAATCTAATCGAATAAATTCAGGTGTGATACAACTTAAAAAAAATCGTAAGTCAAGGTCCGAATGACTGATTGTTCTCGGGTCCTACTTATTTAATTCACTTGCTTTCAACATGTTATATCTTTGATATATCTTTATACAACATAATAACAACAATTTGTAATAATAAATTATCAATCAACCGATTCTGTTCGCCATGTGCGGTCTTAAGTCTGGGCCCGATGTCACGAGGGGTCTCAAATAAAGACTAGTAATTCTTCAGAACTAATATTGCGATGCTGAAAAAGGAAGGAAAATATAGGAGACACGAAGAAATTCACTACTGTGAAGAAAACAATGAAAATTACCGCGAAAACTTGAAAAAAAAAAATGAAAGAGGCGTACATCGATTTGTCTGCAAACAAAACGGGTGATTAGTCGTGATGACAGAAAGTGAAAGAATATTTTCTATTTGACGAGGGGCCCCTGCTATCCCAAGTGAAAGTTAAAAGTGAAAATTCGGCGGAATCATTTGGGAGTCGGTTGAATCATAGAAAATATAAATAACGAATGAACGCCGGAGATTGCAATTAAAATTTTTA